TCGTGCTACTACACCTCTAAGTGCTCCTACATTTAGGCGCCAATCTTAAACTAAACGATAAACTTAAAATACAAACACAAAAGGTTTTACTATCTTAATAATATCCTTAAGAATATTTCAAGAATAAATTTAAAACCAATACGCAAAATAAATTAAATACGTTTTTAAAAAATAATACTTATATCATAATTTCCGATTTCCGTTTTTGGCCGTCATAACAGTTTTTGCCATAATAAGTACCTGTTCTAACCATAATGAAACAGAGATTAATTTATAATGAAACAATTAATAAAAAAGTATATGCAATAAAAATCATGGTTTAATGTTAATATCTTAATGTTAACATTTATTTTTAATAAGATACACACACACACACCTGAAAATATATTTTTAGGTGACCAGATGGACGATGAATATGAAAGTACGCATATAGATCAGTTTAAGAAATATCATGATATTGAAATAGAAAATGATGAGGAAACTGAAATAGAAGATGAAAATGATGATTAAGATTAAGCTTTTGTTACAAACAAAATAAATCAAAAAATAAAAAAAAAATAAATATATATAAAAAATGTAAACATATACACATATATATATACACACACATATATACGAAAAGTATAAATCCGATCTCTACGCGTGCAACCTCTACGCGGTGCATCTTGAGTAATGCTAATGCCGGCGGTATTGTAATTTTCATTTCAAACCTCATAACTCGAAAAAAGTATAAGGTGTAGTAAAAAGAAATTCATTATTTTTCCAATAGATGGCTTTAGTAATGTGTATTTCGCGTTGTATAAGTGCGATCGGTTTACGCTAGATGGCGTTAGAAAGATAAGATTTCGTACTAAAAAAACTTCTCAGACAGTTTTGTGATTGTTTGACTCAGTATTGTTTGAACGCGCGTCAAAGATGGACACTAGCAAAGAGAAAATACGTCATATTTTACAGTTTTTCTTCGATAAAGGCGAAAACGCAAGCCAGGCGGCTGAAAATGTGAATAGTGTTTATGGTCCTGATACTGTAACAGCCAATCACGCGCAATTTTGGTTTCGTCGATTCCGTTCCGGTAATTTTGATGTCAAAGATGCACCACGCTCTGGAAGGCCAATTGTCGAAAATGTCGATAAAATAATGAAAATCGTCGAGTCCGACCGTCATATAAGCACTGTTTCGATTGCCCAAGAGCTAAACATTGCACAAAAAAACCGTTTGGAACCACTTGAATAAGGCTGGATACAAAAAGAAACTCGATGTATGGGTGCCACACGAGTTAACGCAAAAAAACCTC